AGTTACTGACCGATGGCTCTTCTCTCTATACCTTCAAAAATTATGGAGACCCTGATATGCGGTGGTATACACAACTATTTATTATCCCTAAACTTCTTTCCACTCCAACAGCATGGTTTCTGGAAGGGTCACTCTTGTATAACCAACATGCTGAGTGTGATGGACAGACTGACAACCATCCTTGATCGCAAGGAGAAGGTTGACGTCACTAATCTTGACTTCTTAAATGCTTTTGATAGGGTCAAATATATAAGTCTTATCAATAGGCCCAAACGATTCGGTATGAAATCACCTCTAACAGACTGGCTCACTTCATAAGGTAAGAGTTAACTTCACTTTATCTCAGGCTTTGGAATGTTCTAGTGGGGTCTCCCAGAGCTCAGTACTAGGACCTCTTCGCTTTGGATTTATATAAACGATCCTCCACAGCAGGCATAGTCTGACTTATTACTTTTTGCTGATGATGTGAAACTTTGGAGAGAGATACGCAGCCAAGACGATATACAGGCACTTCAGGAGGATCTGACTCGACTTCAAAGTTGGGCAGACGATAACGGACTTACCTTTAACATTTTAAAGTGTAAAGTAGTCCATCTGCGATATGTCGCAGACTACAGTTATAACTTAGGAAACTCCTCTCTAGTAGTATCCCAAGTCGAAAAAGATATAGGAGTCCTGGTGCCCTACGATTTAGTCTTACGCTAACTGTGACAAAAATGCCTTCCGAGCAAACCTTGCACTGGTAACATTGAAGCGCATTTTTGGCCAGTTTGACGGAAGAACTTTCCATATAATCTTCAATAGTTTCATCCGTCCCCATTTAGAGTACGGAAACATAGTATTTCCCCCCTCATTCCAAAAGGATAAGGACACCCTGGAGCGTATCCAACGGCGAGGCACGAAATCAGTTCGAGGACTCAAATTTAAACCTTACGAAGAGCGCCTCCATTCACTTACCCATTAGAGTATAGACGTCTTAGAGGTGGCCTTTTGATGGCTTATAGTATCCTTAACACTTCTGGACATCCTCTTAAACACGTACTTAAGCTTAGTTCCAACACTAACCTAAGGGGTAACACCCAGAAACTGGAGACACAACATAGCAAAACGGACTGTAGACACAACTTCTACTCCTTAGCAGTTGTCAAATGCTGGAATTCGCTATCGAGCGAACTAGTCCAAGCGACTTCTCAGGAGTCCTTCAAGAGGCAACTTGATCTATTCTTAAGGACTAAGGATAGTATCACACTATAACTTACTAATTTCTTTTCCGCTTTTATTATTAACATACCTAGGTTCCTGCCTGGAGGATTTGGTGATCCCCTAGACGCCACTAGACGCGGAAGCCTGTTAAGCGAAAGCTTCTTCTATTCCGTCCACAACCATGTGAATCCCGGGCGGGCACGTTAAACAACACGGGCAGCGCACCAATTGGATTTCGTGGTGACTTACACATTTCCAGCCATGAACCTATTTAAACTTGGCAGGACCGTTTCTTATTGTTCGTTTTATAATGTCCTTTCAAAACCATATACGCAAATGGCAACAAATTTGGGAGCAGATAAGGATTTAGTCCCTCCTTCCTTTAGTGCTGATAATAAGGAGTATCCAAAACACATACATGAGATTGTAAATCGTATCAGTTCCCTAACATTATTAGAAGTCGCAGACTTGTCAGAACTGTTACAAAAAAAGTTAAACATCAAGGTGAGTTTGCAGTAACAAACAACGAAGTAACATAATTCTTTCACAATGATCTGAAGTCCTTGTATGAAGCATACTGCTCCGGCCATTTTTGCTTTTTAAAGACCTACTTGCCAGTATTTCTGACCTTAAGACTCAGCTATTTAAGGAATCATCTATGTCTTTGGTGTAAGCTTAAATCTCGTCACCACATTGTTGATAGGGTGACGTGTTTGTCTATTACTATTCGTTTTATTATCGTTCGGTAGTTATTTTCTAACCATCTAGTTAAAGTCACAGTAGTATTTTGTTTATCTTTCGTTATACCAAAAATTAAACGCATTAACTCTGTTTCGTCTCTTTTATACACACGCTCCCTTCAAAGATATGTTAGTTTGCATAGTTCATACTAGTTTACTTTTATAAAGTTTTCCATACGTTATCCGTAAATAGTTCTTATTGTATCTAAGACAAGTAACGGTAAGAATAACATTGTGTCGTGTACATACAGCAGACACTCGTTTGGTGCTTAAACCGCTGTATATATGTCCCAGACTGTATGTTGCAGATGACTAGCTGGTTTCAATGCTGTCCGAAATACAGCATAACTTTTCTCGAAAGCTCAGGAAGTAATAAGGGAGAGTGTTAACGGATAATAAGTAATACATGAGAATTTACGATTTGTGAATGTGCCGAGTAGTGCCAAGAACATGTGACCTCGTTATACAGTATGTCAGACGAAAAACTAACTTCGACATTAATCAAACGTGTGAAGAACAAGGAAGATCGGAAGACAAACTTGCACCAAGGCAAGTGATATTTGGCATAGTTTATCGTAGAATCTTCGATAGTACAAACTTCATACGATTCCAAAAGGGTGTTTGAGTGCTTTTCATGACTCAGGTTACAATAACTACTTGACATTCCGAAGTATTAAGTTTGCGAGCATTAATAATAGACCATCGTACAATGTTTACTACGGAAAGACGGGTGTACATGCATAAAAACCGTTCACATACCTAACAGAAGTGCCCTTTGCAGAGGGTGGCAGATCACGCAGAGTAGAGGAAAAAGTAGGAGGGGAAAGAACAGTACCTTATGGTACACCCGCTTAAGCTAGTAATGAAGTAAAATATTTCCCTCCAAATACAGTATACTGTTCTCTTCCAGAGAAGTAAGAACGCAGCCAGTTGGTTATCCAGTTCTCAGTTTTAACGTTGGCGACCTTGCTTGGTGCTAGTGGTATTGAAACAGAATTGAAAGTGACAGTAGTCTCGAAATGCACATCGAATATAATTCCCACCCTTTACGAGGCTAAACACTATGGTGTAATGCAAAACCAACAGCAGTATCTAGGGTACTTCTTTCACATGTATAAACAAACTTATATGGGTCGGTAGGCTCATCCAGTTCAAGCCAAAGTGTGAGTAGTAGTTTCTCCATCGTCCTGAGGAAAGGTAAATTTATTATCACGGTTTTAAACTTTGGATCTCTATCATCAGATACGTTCTCGGGTATTGGGATTATTTTCATTATCCCCATCGTAAGTACAAAATTAGTAAAAGACGATTCCTTAAAAGTGCTCGTAAATGGGTGAGAGAGAATATAAACACATTTTAAAAGGTTTAGGGTTTCGCTAGGTCCTGAACATTGCGAAGGGTTAATTGAAATCTTAGAACATGAGTTTCAATGAAACCTGCTACTTTCCCTCAAAATTGGAGAACCAGGACAAAACATCAGGTGTTTGACGCGAAAAACTTATTCAAACCATAAACAGTAGGCTAAATGCCATCATTAATGCAGTCGTTACCTGTAAGTTCCTCAAATAGTTCCCAAATATCTGAAGGGATTTTACAGGTCCCTGGGCATAATCACATTCAGATTTCTGGTTTCTTGGCTTAGACTTTTCAGTCTTCAAACTTCAGCAGTTTTTCTTGTTCAGCCATTCCTCACTCAAGGGTTTTCTACTGATCTAAGCAATCTAGCTGAGAATTGGACATTATAGGTTACCACAAACTCCCAATTCTATTGTGTACCCTGACCTCCATCCAAGGATTCGCGTTGTAACATTAGTATACTCCATGTAGTGTTTCACTGTTTAACACTTTTGTGTACTGCTAGTGAGCTGTGCTCGTATTACTTTATTTACTTTTTCCGATCAAAGTCACTTCGATCATATCCGATTTTTTCTTAATGAAGCACTCATACTGTAAGTAATTATGCTCAAACTATTCCATCCCTTTTAGTGCTGTGCCCTGACTTAGGTGGTTTAATTGCAGAGTATTCAATGTCGTCTTGGCAACACCATTTCGTCCCTTTTTCTTTTGTGCCTATGTAGAATACCGGGCCCATGATGCCTATGATGGTTCAAGCGCCAACAAACCAACCTCCCGAAGAGCCTGAAGAACAACAAGCGCCTACGAAAACTGCATTTTCAGTCAAGCTAGTGAAATTTGATGAAGCAAAAAAAATCCAACTTATTAAAGAGATCAAACAAGTTATTCCAGAGATGAATCTTGTACAAGCTAAAAAGTTCGTAGAAGTAAGTCCAAGTTAGCAGCACAGCAGTTGTTTAATTTTCGACACCTTATGGTGTTTATCAGTCCGTCTGCCTGCTTCTTTACGTCAGTACAACGGTAAGAAGTGAGTGTAAAGTGTACATAAAATTAAGGACAGTAGCAAAAAGCTGTATAAAAAGCAAAAAGGACAAGAGAAACCGGGGGAAGAGCAGCTTGGAATGTTGTTTAGGGCTTGCATATAGTTATAGTGAATGTATGTGTAGCCAACTTTTAATCATATCATCTACAGTCCCCGATACATGGGTGATAGCTAGTGAATCGCGCAGGGATGATGTAACTAGGCATGCGTAGCACATGCCTCAACTACCTTGTCATTCGACTAGGCACTTTTATTTAGTTACTTTATTCTGTAGAAAAGCGCACATTTATATTGTGTCAAGTATTGCTATTGATAAAAAAAAACTAGTAACAGTTGGATGCACTAGACAACCACTCCAGATTTAAAAGTACCCACCCACCTAGTTTTTTTAATATTAATGCAGCTAATCCGCTTTTCTAAATACACTCAATAGCGTGTTATATTTACACACTGCTAGCTTAAAAGAAAATAATAACCTTAATTATTTCTTTTAGAGTGCACCTGCCAATATAAAGACTGACGTGAGCAAGGACGAAGCTGAGCAAATAAAGAAAGTATTGGAAGAGGTTGGAGCGTCTATTGCAATTGAATGAACAATATCATACACAGACAAAAAATAGATACTGTCCAAATTAAAAATTAATAGTGCATTGTTGTTATCAAATATTAGATACTCCTCTCAAAGCCAGGTACCCATTAACGATATGCTGAGGCAAATAACGTATTCTTTTAAACTCAGAACAAGTTGCATAATTTAGTTTTGTCAATGGATCTGTATAAGCAGTTGGTATCCCACTTAAATCAGAAACTTTCATAGGTGGACAAATGCATGGTGGTGCATTTAGATGATTGTAAAGAACAGCATCTGGTGAATAGCTAACCTGCAGTTGAAAACAAATGAATATTAGTCTAGAAAGTAATAGATTTAATAGCGTGTGAGTTTATTTATTAGAAAGTGGGTTTCGGCGATTGTATGGATGAACGGTAATCTACATACCGCCCAAAACAGAATCACTATGAATTCATGACCTAATAATGAGTAGTTGAATACCCAAACCACCGGTGGATCGTCTTACGTAGCAATGTTTTAACAAGCTTTCGTTCCAGATTGTATTAACCGATAGAGTATATGTTCTCCGCAACAACAGAAATGAATAATCGGGAGGAAAATTTTCAATGGGAGTTACCGCAACAAACAATAAATCGGGGTCGATGCATATAGTATGTTAAATCGAGTTTACATTGGTCGGGTAGGCACGCATGTTATAAGCCAATAGTCTTACTTAGCAAATGCGAAGCATCACGGTACTCTTAAAGCTGTCACAGGAAACTGGATTTTGCCAGTGTTTGCTTCACATCACTATGCCGGTCAGAGATTAATTGCAGTAGAACCAGAGGTTGACAGACACTTGCTGATAATTTCATAATAGTTGCTTAGTCTGAAAGTTATTTTACTTACACAGGAGCAAACAGGTACAAAAACTAGCCCTCAAAACATGAGTGCACACGGATTTGGTATACTAGAACGTACTTATTCATTTAATTACACCGATTTATTGAATCGTCATATAGCGCAGTAGAGAGAAATTCTCTCATGCCCGTAATTTCATAGTTAATCAACAGGAACATCCTAAAATTAGCGTCGTTTATGTGTCAATAAATTCCCATATTTTATGTTACGCTAACTCAACAATACAAACGAGAATTTGCGACGTTACATTCAAGACTAGATAGATTAACTGTTACTAGATACTTCATAACATAGACTTCTCCAGCTTGGTTTTGATGCTTTTTGCGCAACGAATAGAAGCTTAGTTCCACTACATGGTGGTTTTCAGATGAAAATGAACTAGATGGATTTATGTATAAATTGATGCAACTGTTGAGTGTTACATATGACCAACAGATAAGCGAAAGTTCTGTGTGGATTTAATAACTAATTTGCAACGATATTCCGAAGGACAACCCACCATGTGAGCACTTGACTCGGTTGATTTATCAATCTAATCTAGTTACAAACTCATGAATCTAGATAAATTAGCTAGACTACTTATACAATGTTCGCGTGTGCGGAGATGTTACACGACAAGAATTTAACCTGCTTGAAATGCATTTCTTGATAATTGAAAAGCAATACGTGGCTACAATACAATCGAATGGTTTATAAATTTGACTTTTACAACAATACCTGCAGACAGCAGAAGTACCTACTTTCAGTGTTATCCTTGGCCATAAATCCAGTTAATTTCGACAGGAAACAATTCTTGATTCCGACATCAGAGATATTAGTGTTTGAGCGAAAGAATAGTCCAGTGCAACGACAATAAGCTTATCAGCTTTATGGTGCGTAATAAAGTAGATATTAAGTACTGATCATACTACTTTATGTGAGAAAAACAATCCAGTACTACGGAGAGCTGATATAGTTACAACTTATTAAAACTGACAAACATTCATCTTTTATTGGTAAGCGTTTGGTTGAGAAAGGTAAAAGAATTAGCTTAGATTTAACCTCTCTAATTTTATGCCGAAGTGATCTGGGGTGGTGCTTGGGTTTGTTGGAAAGTCAAACTAAGAAAAATTTAATCGTGTTTAAGAGTAGTTGATACTTGCGCTAAACATACCCTGGTAATATAGGCTTCAATGTAGCATCTAGAGTGGCGTGCCGTGCATTCCTTTTTGTTCCGTCTGCTAGTCTGACCTTTCGTTTGACGTTTACAAGTTGGTGTGTGATCACTTAATATTTCATCATGCTAAGTCGATCGAATGGTTTTGTTATTTTAAATCCATATATCTTTCATGAGAAGCAGAGATTATTTAGTGCTGGGTATTTTTATATACGATGGGAAACGCAAATTACTAACTAGAACTAGAAGTGCTAAATATAAATCTTACTTGAGATTCCGCGTTTAAGACCTGTTTGATACCTTTGAAATTTATTTTCTTTCGCTCGAACTGTCTGGAACTATATTGTTCTGGGACTGCCATTTTGATAAAGTGAAATATCGAAAATAAGTTGGCGGTGTATCTGGAATAAGAAGAGATATCCACCTATTAAATTTTGGATGGGAGTTTTAAATCGAAATAAATAGGGATCCTTATTAATTCGCAGCCAAGTTAAGCACCCAAGACGGCCAACAGTGTTCACACTAAAAACCCAAGTTTAGCGCTGATACATCCGATAATTTTAATAACCTAATGAGTTTATTGTAAATAAGGTCAAACATATCTTATTACTGTCAAACGTATAGATGCCTGGCGCCCCAAAACAAGGTTAGCATTGTGAAGTATTAACAGCAGAAACAAAAAGTGCAATGCGACGATGCTTACTGGTAAACTAGTCCAGACCAGTGTTGCTGAATGTAAGTAGTGGGTCAACACTTTTTGGTTAAATGCAGTTAAAACATCTTATCCTGGAGAACCAAAAAGATTTGATATTGATAGATTCGCCACCTTGAAGTTTGATTGCTGAACCCAGAAGATAACTCAGTCTAAGGCAATACTGTTTTTTCTTTAATTTTATAGAGTTGGCTACGTATTACCTCAACTCTTACCCAAAACAAGAGCCGCTGAAAATGACTTGTCCAGATGACGTTTCCAACTTCCCATAGATCCCTCGACAGAGCAGAATTACTACAGACATGGAGTATCCGTTAAAATCTTTACTTATTTAAACATGAATTATTCGGTTTATGTGAGGGCTTGGATACTGCTTTGGTTCCCAAACCGAAGCAGGTGGTTTTCTTAGGGGACTACACTCCGGGCTTCTGACATACAGGTCTAATGGACAAGGAAGCGCAGCAACGTAAGGAGATGAAGTCCCATGGTAGCCGGTGGCCGACAATTGGTTCGTACGCCAATCGTTCCCTCACGACCCTGGAGCCCATGTGCACCATTCGTTTAGAATCAGGGTTTTCCAATTCCCTTAGGTGGATCCTACATATCCACCAGCCCGGTTGAAGCACCAGAAATTCGCTTTTTGTCCTCTCAATTTCGTAAATAACACCCCTGTTGTGGGAAGACAGTGAATATGACTTCCCTGGAAGTGGTTTTATGCACGTGGCCATATGAGAGCATTTTAAGAGCTGCGTCTCCCCGCTCTTGGCCGAACCAGGGCATTTGGGGTTAGAATCATATTGAAGCTACAATCGATGGCATGACCTAAGCTGTAATGTGTGATTGAATGTACATCTATTTAGCAACTCATTTTACACTTTAAAGTCGCTGTATTAGCAACATTTATAGTTTAATAAATACCAGTTACATAAATTTTCATAATTAGCTATATTTTTATGGTACAAATTAGAGTACTGCATGCACTACACTATGACTGACCCATCAGCATAAAACTCTTCAAAACATTTTATGGAAGGATTTACACGGACCTTGTTTGCCGAAAGTTTTGTACAACCTCAATTGACTCATACATCAGGGAAGACCGCATAGGATAATGTATTTCGCATAACTGGAGTGGCTTGTTGACAACACCGCTGGAATAGATGTGGGTCAAACGCATAATTCCACTCCCAACTGGAAATCGATAGGTGCAATATGACATTTTTGGCATGATAGAAATTAGCAGACCACTGACTGATCACAGTATATTTTGAAGGAAGAGATCAACGGAAAATCAATCCCTAGAATTAGAGCACTTTATCAGTAACTACTAAGTGATATCCCAACCCAATCGGTTCTAACTGTATTGACTAATGCAGTCCTTTTTCTGTGCGATAGATTGTCGTTTACCGACACTACGCAAATTTTGTGCAAGTGACTAAAATTTATAACCGTCGGGAACACAACAAATAACATGTTTTGTGAACATTCGAATGTTGTTCCTGCTTTACTGTGATCACAACTAGTATCCAATAACATGGAGACCTTTCCTTAAGAACTACACACTACGCCTTGCAAGACGTTGAGTACAAGAGATTACCAAGCAGAGAAACAAATAAAGGTATAGATTGAATGTAATTACCTACATTGATGTAGGTGCTATGGTAGCGTGCGTGAGGAAAGCTGCAAGAGCGATTGATAATGGAAAATATTGAGGTGTGACTACAATTTATGAACGACCCTTAAGCGACGCTGAAGTTACATGAGCTATGATGCCAAAACTCTAATTAGATAAATGTATGAATGAACTTCGCGCCGGAGTTCGTGACTTGTTATCTTATATCTAATTTGTTCGTCTATAAATTACAGTCTGGCCAATGTTGGTCTGTAACTTAGTGAACGCAAGAAATGCACTAACATTTAATAGACGAAGTTAATACAAAACGATTAGCGATAAAAGTGAAAAATTACGATGTAACACGTGTAATCAGCAGTCACTGGAAGACGGGAAGACCTAAAGCCACAACACACACAATGTTAACTGAACACTTTACACCACAGAGAGAACGAGGAATGGAGGCCAATAGACGTTTATTTTAAAATTAAAATTCGCGGGTTCTGTACAGAAAGAGAGCTAGTTTACAAAACGGTCTTATGAGTCGTCCTGTAAGTTTAGTGTGTGCAGGGCTTGCTCTTCTTCTTCTAAAGCGTTTATTCTTGCTTGCCCTGCAATAGAAAGAAAACAAAATCTATTAACATACATGATGATTTTAATCCCATTACATCGCCCCCTCTCCTAATGAGGCACTGTCCTCAGTGCCTGATCTTGGGCACGGGTATGCTGTCCCTCCTTCAGATGGTACTTCGTAAAATCTAGTGGCCGGCGGTGGATCAGAGAGTTGGGCATCGAAGGGAAATGTCGTCCGATCGGGTTTTATCTGGTTGTAGTGCACCGTTATCACGTCGTCTTTAGGTCGTTGTATGTTACGCAATACAAACGTGGTGGGCGATCGGATGAGGACGATTTCAAAAAGGCCTTGCCAGGGCTGGTGGAATTTACTGCAACCCCCTAGCGATGTCATTGGGCGGCGTAGTCAGACGCGATCTCCAACTGTATACCTAGGTCCTTGTGCTTGACGATCATATATATCTTTTTGGTGTCCACTAGCCTTGCATAAGTTAATGTTGACCAGACGGTAGGCATCAGCTAGACGGTTGCGAAGAGTACGTATGTACGGAGCATGCTCTTGTTCTTCGTAGGGCAGCAGGGGTGACTGTATCTCTACTGGTAAGCGTAATTCGTGCCCAGACAGCAAAATAGCAGGCGAGAATCCCGTGGACCCATGTACCGACGTAAGATATGCTAAAATTCATTGGGGGAGCACCTCATCCCATAACTCAGGTGACGATCTGCTGACAAACGACTGCAAGATGGCTTTAATAGTTCTGTTTGTTCTTTCCACGAGACCGTTACCTTCTGGGTGATAGGCAGTGGTGTGTGTCTTCTTGATTCCTAATAGCCGGCATATCTCAGTAATGAGGTGGCTTTCAAAGGATGGACCTTGGTCGGAGTGGAGTGAGACAGGGGCACCATAACGGGAGACCCAATGATCGATGAAAGCTCGGGCAACAGCAAGGGCGTCTTGCTGTGGAAGGGGTACAGCTTCCCACCATTTGATGAAATAATCCACCATAACCAGTATGTAGCGGTTCCCGTTGTTTGTCGTAGTCAGTGGTCCCATGATGTCTATGCCAACTCGCTGGTGTGGTCCTGTCGTCACCATCGGCGTCATTGGTGCACGGGGTGTCTGCTGAGGCGATTTAAAACGGCAGCACGTGTTACAGTTCTTGCAAAACTGAGCTACATCTTCGTGTATGGATGGCCACCAAAAGCGTTTGTAGTGGCATTGGACCATAACCATACAATCTTCAAAGCTGAACACAAGACTACTCAGAAAATAGATATTCAATATTTAACACGGAGAAATACTTAAGAATAGAGAAGGCGCCAACAATGAATTGAACGGACTGGAGTTGATCGAGTGGCATGGCTCGACCATGCAGGCGTGGTCCATCTGAATGTCACCTTACATCTTCTATTCATATTAAATATATTGTTCTTTCTCTAGCCTAACCTTGTTCTACATCATGTATTGGTAATTGATGCGATACAGTGAGTTGGTGTAGTCGATGGTGTGACTTCCACGTAAGATCTTATAGATTAGGCAGTTATATCATGACAAATCTACAAATTTAGGATTAGGTCTATTATTAGAGCAGTACTAATATCGTAGTGGACCATAATTCTACACGTTGACGGACATCTTGTTCAGTTCTCCGTTCTCCCGCATGACCAAGTTCGCGGTGTACCTGTTCCACAATACTCTCAACTTTCACTCGCGGTACTATCAGTAGGGGTTGTTTTGATTCATTCATTAGGAATAATGTGTCACCATGTAGTTTGAAGTTGCCCCATTTGGTGCAAATACGACAAGTTGTTACGGATTGATCTTTAAGCTCCTTCATGGATGGCTTACTATTTCCATGTAGCTGTCTTTGATAAACAATCTGTAAGTCTGGATCTGTTGTTTGTAGGGAGGGCCAGTCTGTCTCTGGAGCTGTACTAAGAATTGCGTTAATAATATCTGTGGTCTGGCGTATTCGGGAGAGGGCATCCGCGTTTGCATGTCGATTTCCCGGTCGGTACTCGCATGTGAAATCGAACTCTTGTAGTCTCTCCTGCCAGCGTGCCACTTGCCCTTCTGGGTTTCGCGGGAAGAGCGGAGCCACTGCAGTGCATGGTGATCCGTGCGCACACGAAAGGGTTTGCCCAGCAGATAATGGCGAAAATGTTGTAAGAATTTTACTAGTGCTAACATCTCCCGACGTGTTGTAGAATATCGTGCTTCACTCTTATCTAGTCGTCGACTAGCGTACTCAATGACCCTTTCGTGTCCATCTCCAGCTACTTGTGATAAAACTGCTCCAATAACCGAGGAACTAGCATCCGTATCAAGTATAAATTCGCCTCCGTCTGCTGAAGTATCTGGGAAGGCTAATATAGGTGGAGAAGTTAACCGAGCCTTCAAAGCATCGAACGCCTGTTGACACTCGCTGGTCCATAAAAATTTTCGTCCTTTGTGGGTTAATCGGTGTAAAGGTGCTGCTAATGATGCGAAATCACGTACGAAGCGTCTATAGTAAGAAGCTAGTCCAAGGAAGCTACGAACGTCTTCGGGTGATTTTGGTTGCGGCCAATTAACAATCACACGTGTCTTTTCTTTATCTGTTGCCACTCCATCTTCTGTAATGCGGTGCCCTAAAAAGAGCACTTCTTTTTGCAATAGTCAACATTTAGATGGTTTCACTTTTAGGTTATGCTGCCTAATACGTTGTAGGACTGCCTTCAAATTGGCATTATGTTGTTCTGGCGTGCTGCCATATACAATAATATCATCAAGGTAGATTAAGCACTGGTGCGGTACGAGACCTTGCAGAACTGTCTGCATCAATCGTTGGAAGGTGGCTGGGGCATTAGTTAGCCCGAAAGGCATTACTTGAAATTCATATAAGCCATTAGGCACTACAAATGCAGTTTTTTTCTATCTTGGGGTCGGACTTCCACTTGCCAATACCCTGATGTTAAGTCTAGCGTTGAGAACCAGCGAGCACATTTCATGGCATCTAAGGTAGCGTCTATCCGTGGAAGTGGAAAAGAATCACGCTTAGTTATAGCATTAAGGCGTCGGTAATCTACACACAGTCGTAGGGAGGAATCCTTCTTTTTTACTAAGACAGTTGGCGATGCCCAGGGTGACGAAGATGGTACAATAATCTTTTTTTCTAACATATCTTTTATCATTGATTCTAAATGAGGCTGATAATGCACCGGGACTCTGCGAGGTGGTTGGCGTAATGGCATGTGGTCACCTGTAACAATGGAATGTTGCACAATGGTTGTCCGATTTCCAGATATATTCTCCGAGAAAACAGAGCTAAATCGTTGGAGTACGTCAATGGTAGCTCGACGGCCTTTTCACTTATTAATTGGTTATCTTGTACCTGACGTACAATCTCTGCAATTCCCACCTGGGCTACGGTTTCGGTTGGCATTTCCTGGCGTTGTAGTTGCACGACAACCCCGCCAATTTTAGCTTCCGACTTATTCATGTCTATTGAGGCCTGATATCTTAACATGAAGTCAACCTCGAGTATCATGTTCCAGGTCAGTGTGGGGCAAACCAGGAATTCATATCGAAAAGAGTTCTTGTTTATTGTTAGCTCTAACCCGATCTTAGAACACGCAATCAAGGGGTCTCCGCTCGCCGTGATTAATGTAGAGGAGCACTGTTTACGCTGAATGCTGTGATTAAGTCTCTGCAAGAAGTCTTCCTTAATGAGGGATACTGAAGCTCCTGTGTCGAGAAGTATGTCTAGCTCGATGTTTTGTACTCTACCTTTAAATGTAGTTGGATTGACATGATTAACATAGGAAGATAAGTAACCAAAACGCCGCTTACCTGGTTTACGGGGGCGGTTGTGACCACATCTTCTGGCGTTCCTGCCAAACCTTTTGCAATATATACAGTCTGCTTGACGCCCATTGTAGTTTCCCCATGCTGGTTGTTTATTCCACCTCGAATTTGACTGTCCGCGGATAGCACCTCGGCCGGGAAGGTCGGTCACAGCCATTGTAGTCTGGCAGGTGTCCGGGCCACTAGATTTTGTAGC